CACTGGCCACTGTCTTCTTTTTTTTTTTTGAGGGATTTTTGCTATAGGGCGCGTGCGCTCGTCAGACAGACAGAGAGAGACAGAGAGACAGAACATGAGAAATCACCTCCCAGGGGGGATGGCCACGCCGTAATCCCTTCTCCTCCATTCTCCTCTTGGGATCTTGGGCACGCATGCCCACACGCCCGGCGTGAGTTTAAGCCACTGGGTCCAAGACTCAAATCGTGGTTGACTACATAAGAGTTCAGTGACATGGCCATTACACTAACTGCTGGTCCCCCTTGTATTAATGTAATGAAATACACTTATGGCTGACACTGTTATACGGGAGAACAGAATTTTCAGGGATGGCTCTGAAAGTACAACCAAGACACAACTACTCTCAATGGCCAGGGCTATTGGCTTGCTGGGCAGTAAACACCTTGGGAAAAGAGAAATTCCTCTGTCCCCATAGGCAGCATCTAGGATCCTTCCATCCACTCCTGATCTGCTGTGTTTTCACTTTCCCCACAAATATATATCGGTTTGAGATTTCTCAAGATTTCCAGACTGTCCTTCAAGTTTGATGAAGGCTCTTGGCTCTGCCCTTTAAAAAACCCGTCTTTTCCAAGTCAGTATCACAACCTCCATGACACTGAGCAGAGGATACTCCACTTGACACTGCTCTGTAGCTTGGGTTTCTTCTGTTTATTGGGGCCCCCTACTCGGAAGACTTGCACTATTTCCAACGTATGTCACATAAGGGGTACCTCGGCCATCTCAGTTCACATGAAATGTCACCATCAGGCCAGTAACGTACAGGAGAAATAAATAACTTTCCTCAATAGCAAGCAGGTTTATGCTGAACTTAAGAATAAAGCAAAACTTGGGACCAGCAGTTAGCGTAATGGCTATGTCGCTGGACTCCCACGTAGTCGACCGCGGTTTGAGTCTCAGACCCGGTGGCTGGGACTCAAGCCGCGTGCGATCCCGAGAGGAGAATGGAGGAGAAAGGATTGTGGCATGGTCATCCCCCCTGGGGGGTGATTTCTCGCTTTCTGTCTCTGTCTCTCTGGAGACCACATGTGCCCTATAGCAAAATACTCTAAAAAAAAAAAAAAAGAAGAAGAAGAAGAAGAAAGCAAAATTTGGACCAGGAGATGGAGTAATGGCTATGTTGCTGGACTCCCACGTAGTCGACCGCGGTTTGAGTCTCAGACCCGGTGGCTGGGACTCAAGCCGCGTGCGATCCCGAGAGGAGAATGGAGGAGAAAGGATTGTGGCATGGTCATCCCCCCTGGGGGGTGATTTCTCGCTTTCTGTCTCTCTGTTTTTCTGGCGAGCGCATTCGCCCTATAGCAAAAACCTCTCCAAAAAAAAAAAAAGAAAGGAAGGAAGGAAGGAAGGAAGGAAGGAAGGAAGGAAGGAAGGAAGAAAGAAAGAAAGAAAGAAAGAAAGAAAGAAAGAAAGAAAGAAAGAAAAAAACAAAACCAAGATTTCCCAGCAGCCAGACCTCTGACACCTGGATGGACAAAGTCCCAATCCTCTTTTAATCTCCCTTTTTCATTGATAAAAGTATCCATTTTACATGGATTACACAAGAAAGCAGGTTTGGAATACATAGGTGAACAAACCAACAACAAAAAAAGTTGAACATATTGTTCTAACAGCTTTGAGATCCTGGGGTCCAGCAGGTGGCATAGTGGTTAAAGTACTGGATTCCCACATGGCTGACCACAGCTTGAGTCCTGGATCTGGTGACTTGCTTTTTCACTTGTCCCCCCATCCCCCGCACTCGCTCTCTCTCTGGTCAAATTAAACAATAATAATCATAAATAAAATTAAATAAATATTTTTTAAAAACTAAAACAGATTTAAGATCACTCAAGCTACTAAAAAGCTATGTGCAATAATATTTTTTGGCTTCAATTTTGTTCTGGTGCATTTATTTTCTGTTGTTTAGTTCAACTGTGAAATTTTTTGTAAAGAATAAGTTTGTGTGTAAGTGTTTGCGTGCGTGCATGTGTGTATGTTTTAGCTCTCAGGCTCTTCAAAGTCTATCGATCTTCAAATATGCATACAAGGGGACTAGCAGTTAGCATAATGGCGTTGTATCTGGACTCCCATGTAGTCGACCGCGGTTCGAGTCCTGGACCCAGTGGCTTAAACTCATGCTGGGCGCTTGTGCGAGCATGCACAGGATCCTGAGAGGAGAAGAAATTGCGGCGTGGCCATCCCCCCTGGGGGGTGATTTCTCACTTTCTGTCCCTCTGTCTCTCTCTGTCTTCCTGGCAAGCGCATGTGCCCTATAGCAAAAACCTCTCAAATTTGCATACAAAATATTTTTCAGTAAATTGATCTCCAGATAATTCTGTCACTAAGAATAACTCTTGTAGGGGCTAGCAGGTGGTGTGGTAGTTATAAGTGCTGGACTCCCACATTACCAACCACAATTCAAGTCCCAGACCTGGTGGCTTGCCTTCTCACTTTCCCTCTTTCTCTCTGTCTCTGATAAAACTGGAAAACAATAATAATAATTAAATTAAATTAAATAATTTTTAAAAATCTGAACTAGAAAAATGAAAAACAGTAACTCTTACAAATTGTTTACAACGTGCCAGGTACTGTCTCTAAATTTTTACACAGGTTAAATCATTCAGGTCTCATGAAAACACCCAGACGTGCTTAATTTTTTTTTTTTCCATAGGGCACATACATTTGCAGGAGAGAGACAGAGAGAGGGAAAGTGAGAAATCACTCCCTGTGATGAATGGCCATTCCAAAATCCCTTCTCTTGGGATTATGGGCGTGAATGTACAGAGGCCTGGTGTGATTTTTCACGCTGGCAGGTTGGGATGCAAACTACGGTCAGCCATGTGGGAGTCTAGTGCCTTAACCACCACACACCTGCTGGTCCCAGATGTGTTTAATATTACTCCCACTTTTCAGATGGGGAAAGAGAGGGACAATACTTGCAAGAGCTACCCAGCTAAGAAATAAGGAATTATGACCCAAACCCAGGCAGTCTGGCTCGAGTCGGTGTTCCTTCCCAAGATGCTCTATTGCCTTTTGTATCTGTGATATTCACGGATCTTTGCACTCACAGAGGCCAGAATATAACAGCCTTAAAGAGCCCAATAACAATCATGCTATAGGAAAAGACCTGGAAGACTGGGTGAGGTCCAATTCCCCATAGAAAAACGGCGCGGAAGAGTGAGGTGGACTCATCTCCCACACAGACACCGCGTACACGCATTCTCCATTTCCATTTATGCTTGTTCTGTGTGGCTTCTGACTTCAGTAAAAGCCATTATTTCTGCAAGGGTGCAGTGTCGCGGCACAGGTGGCTGAGGCTGGTAGCTTGCAGCATATTTTGTAAGGCATTATTTATAGATGCTATGACGTCATGCCCAACAGGAGCCCTTCTCCAGACATCAGTTCCTTGGAAATCTATAGGCACAAGGCATCTGTAACACTCATCAGAACTGAGTGCTGTCAGCATGGATTTGTTATTAGTCTGCCGGAAGGTCTGCGTAATGATCCTGCAGAGACCGTCTCTCCAAGTCAAACAATTGCTTTAAAGTTTCTTTAAGGCGACCCAATGGCATGGTGGTTAAGGTAACTGGATCCCACATGGCCGACTACAGGATTTGAGTCCCAGACCCGGAGGCTTAAAAACCATGCTGGGTGCATATGCATGCATGCCCAAAATCCTCTCTCTCTCTCTCCACCAATTGCCTATAGTAAATTTAAATAAATAAATAAAAAATTTTTTTAAGTTTCTTTTTTTGTGTGTGAGGAAGGGGGGACACCCTTCAACAGGGTCTCACACTGTGTTCCCCCCCCCAGTGTTCCCGGTCAACGAGGATGTGAACAGATCCACCCAGGAATCGAACTCCAGTCATTCTACATGCAGAATGATGCACTGCTGCCAACCACGGCTGGCCCTTAAATTGTATTTTAGTAATATCTCAAAACCCAGATTCTTCAACAATAGTCAATTTACATCCTCACAGGGTTTGTCCTATACCCCCTAAAACTCACAACAAAGGAATTTAAGAAAACAAAGTAGGCATCAAGTCCAGGAAAGGGCAGAGGCATTAACCTTAAATTCCTTTTTTTTATTTTTGGAGAGGTTTTTGCTATAGGGCTCATGAACTCTCCAGAGAGATAGGGAAAAAAAAAAAAAAAAGCTAGAAATCACCTCCCGGGGTGGATGGCCACACCGCAATACCTTCTCCTCCATTCTCCTCTCTGGCATGAGTTTAAGCCACAGGGTCTGAGACTTGAACCACAATTGACTACATGGGAGTCCAGCAACACAGCCATTACACCAACTGCTGGTCCCAACATTAACCTTAAATTCTAAAATACTTTAGTACAACAAACACACACCACCATGCTCCTTTAAAATACTCTGCTTTGCAATGGAGTTTCAAGGAAAACACACGCCCCACAAAACTTACTGAAAACCTCCTGTCACCTAGGCCACATCAAGCATAGTACAGTAAAGAGAAAAAGTCATCCCAACTTAGAGAGTGTGTTTGTTCCAACTGGTGATCTGTGCAAGGCTTGGGAGGAACTGGGTCATGGAAACACTGTGTCTAAATATTACTGAAGTGTTTATCACTCCAGAGTCCGGCTTCTGAGAATAACGACCCAGCAGGCATGCAATTCTCCTGCTGGGAAGGCTGGACTGAACTGCAGCAGGGCAAAAATGCTAATAAAAGTGAAAAACGTTTTAAAATCATCATAACAATTACCAGCACCTAAGACAGGCGCAGGAAAACAGGTTGCCAGGGTTGGCTCAGCTCAGCGAGGGCGAGGGCACCGAGGGCATTTTCCTAAGAGGGCTCAGACCTCAGAGTCAAGCACTCACAGAAGCCCTTCGGAGGTCACCTGTGCACCCCTGAGCCGGCACAGCACGCTCCCCACCAGCCCTGCCCTGCCCTGAGCCAGGGCCAGGGCCAAGGCGACCAGCAGACCAGGACATCTCCCGAAGGGGTGGGGGCATTCCTTACGTTCCATGCTCTGGACGCCACCTGAGAACTTCCACGCACACCAAAACTCCGCTGCCTTCTCAGAGCCGCTCTGTGAGAGAAGGGCAGAGGGGGGCTGCAGGGCGCCCGAGCACCCTCGGGTCCGAAGGAAAAACAAGCCTCAACATCCTCTTTTGAGTGGACCAAACAACAGATGGCCACGGGTTTCCAGTTTCTACCAGAGGGAAGGAAATAAGAATGCCGAACTGCTATATGTAGCCTCCGTAGAATCCCCTCTTTCTAGGCAGAGGCCAGGAAAAAAGAAAGCAACCCAGAAGCCCTACCCTGAGGGTGAACGTGAAGACCCTGTCATTGATTTTCATCCCTTCCCAGAAGCCCCGTGCTTCCTCTGGGGCCTGACATTTGTGCCTAAGTGTGCCCTCACTCTCTAAGTCCGCCTCATTCTCCCCACCCGCTCCTTCAAGGCACAGAAGTGACTTCTTTTCCCCCAGGGGCAGTCAGGTAGACCGTGCATTTCTTGAGAGCAAGAGCTGTGTGTTCCTCAGCACCAGCTTAGCGTCTGGAGCCCGTGTAAATATTTTATAATGATAAATATTTTCTGAGGACTGAGCCAAAGTGGGCACCAGGCTGGAAGGCAGTGGCCACAGAAAGGAGGCTCGCAGCTACTAAACATACTTGCTGTTTACCGAGCACTTGACATATCTCAGCTCAACTTCTCAGCCATCCTTGGAAGTTAGCCCGTGGTCAGCCCCATTTTACAGATGGGGAAGCTGAGGCCCGGAGATGAAATACCTACGACCAACTCGACGTGAGGGAGTAGGTGAGCGGGGCCTGGGTGCCAGGTCGACTGGCTGCAAGGAGAGCTCAGTGAAAGATGCAGAGAATGAAAGGCCGGACCCTTCTTCCTCATGGAACTTCTCATGAGCTGAGACGAGACCCAGAAGGTCACCTGCGCAGCTGTCCCAGGCTGTGTGAACTTACCTTCACTGGGCCACAGAAAAACAAGAATGAGGATAAAAAAATATTTACCGAGTGAGCTGTGTTGATAGACTAAGGATAGTCTTGGGTTGTTTGGTTTTGTTTTTTAGAATAGATGGCTGTTATTTATTTGCACATTACAAAATTCAAGAGATACAGAAGGGCCCGCGGTAAAACAGTCCCCCTCTCACCCTGTCTCTCACCCAGTAGCTCCTCCTGAAGCAGCAACCTATAGAAGATTCTTGTGTATCAGGGCAGTTTCTTTTTTTATTATTATTTATTTAATTTTATTTATTCATTCATTTATTTTAATTTGACCAGAGAGAGACAACAGAGAGAGAGAGGGAAAGGGAGAAAGGAAGCCACCAGGTCCGGGACTCGAACCTTGGTCGGCCATGTGGGAGTATCCAGCACCTTAACCACCATGCCACCTGCTGGTCCCCTCTTTTTTTCTTTTTTAAGCTTATTTATTTTTCTCATAGCAAGTTAGGCAGAGAGAAAGAGAGACAGAACGAAAATATTATCCCCACAGGGGATCTTTTTTTTTTTTTTTTTTTGAGAGGTTTTCGCTATAGGGCACATGCGCTCGCCAGACAGACAGAGAGAGACATAGAAAGACAGAAAGCGAGAAATCACCCCCCTAGGGGGGATGGTCACGCCGCAATCCCTTCTCCTCCATTCTCCTCTCGGGATCTTGGGCCTGCACCCACACGTGCCCAGCGTGAGTTTTAAGCCACCGCGTCCGGGATGCGAACCGCGGTCGACTGCATGGGAGTCCAGCGACATAGCCATTATGCCAACTGCTGGTCCCCCCCACAGGGGATCTTGATGCTCTGATCCACCCCCAGGCCCAGTCAGCCCCACCATCAGGGTCACATTGGTGTCCGGCGCACTCAGGGAGGCCTCTGAACTTGAACCACCAACCTTCCCATGTGGGTGAGTCTCACGGAGCATCATGTCTTATCGCCGTGCCTCTGTCCAGTCCCTTTAGGACAATTCTTTATCTGGGATATAGCTTCCTACCATTTGCAGTGTTAAAATGTCCTTTCAGTTGTGACATTTGTGGCAGAGATGGTTGGCGATGGCTTTGCTTTTCATGTCCTGACTGGAGGAGGGGAGGGCGGGCGAAAGGAAGAAAAGAAGGAAGAGAGGAAGGGAAGAAGTGAGGAAAGACAAGGGAAACATTGCCAGCTCTGTGTTCATTCTCTGACTGTATTTTAACAAGATGATCAAATGGCACTGTGTGCAGGTAACCCTGGACTTAGGTCCGAGACTCAAGCTCTGTGCTCTGCCCCTTCTCAAATCGATGGCTCCGGACAAGTCCCAGCCCTTAATGGCCTTTGCAGCTCTCCAGTGACAGTCAAAATGGCTCCCTCTTGCTGGGACAGACAACTTAAAGAGTACAGAGGACAGGAAGACCCCCAAAGCCTGAAAGAGTTGGAGCAAGGAGACCCAAGGGACAGGGACAAGATGGCACATACAGGGAGCATCAGGGAGCAATAGCAGACGTAGGAATGTTCAGCCCAAGAGCACAGTGAGGGTCCCTGGGTGAGGCAGAGGGGAATCTCACTCTGGGGCTAGGGTCCTCAAGGGAGGGGACCTGGCTTGGAAGTGAAAGTTGTCCCTGCAAGTCTGCAGGGACTGTTTCCCCCGAGTGGATGCCTCCTGACAGCTCTTATCGAGGGGCTGCTGCTGTACCCTGCCTGGGCCCCTGTGCCACGCCAGCTGCTGTGGCAGACAGCTATCTGGGGGAAGCAGAAGAAACTCGTGGGAGTAAATTTAGTACCATGGAACCAACATGTTCCCTGCGCCCAGCATCAGGGGGTTGGGGGGTTACTCAACCCGGGGAGGGAAGTGACTCGGATGACCCAGGAAGCCCTAGGAAATGGCCAGCCGGGCACCTGCTGGGTTTCCACATTTTCTAACAGTGAGGAAAGACATATGAGGTCAAATATGGACCAGTAATGGCAAATAATGCCCCGAGGGCACCGCCCGGCCACCCTCTGCAGGCTGCTCTTGAGGAAGGCCAGTGCTGGTTCCACAGACGCTCCTGGCTCCGAGGCTGCCCACACCTGTATGAAATGCTGCCTCGCGGCGCAGCCCAGCCTCTCGGTCCCTGCAGGCCAGGCCCACCTCACTCTCCCTGAACCTGCAGGCCTGGGCCAGTGATGTTCTGCAGAGTAAGTTTCCCCAGCTGCCAAGTCGGCCCTGCTGCTGGGTTGTTAAAACAAAGACATTAAATTGTTATGTGGACTGTCATCTTTAAATAAAACCTAATCCCGGCAATAAATCTGAAACTGTTCCCAAGGGTTTAATGGGATAATGTATAACAGGCCTGGGTGGAGGGCTGAGCCCTGCCTGGCAGGGTGGGAATTCCCCTAAGAGGCTACCCCTCCGCTGGGGGTGTAGACGGCAGGGCTTGGGCTTTGCGAATCTTTGTATGGGGCAGGCTGAGTGGACAGAACCCTTTAATCCTCACATTTTAGTGCCCTAAGAATCAACTGGAGGGCCAGCCAGTGGCAGAGCGGATAAGGCAGCTGGATCCTACATGACCAACTTTGCGGTTCGAGTCCTGGACTCAGCAGCTTGAGAAACACACTGAGTGGGTGTGCATGCATGTGTGCCCAAAATCCCAAAAGGAGGAAGAGATGGAGAAGGGACTGCAGGACCATCTTCCACGCGCTTTCTCACTTTCCCTCTTTTTCCCTCTCAGGTGAGTGCATGTGTACTCCAGCAAAAATTGTTAACAAGTCTACTCCACCACCCCCCCACCATAGCAGAGGAACACATGCTGAGAACCCTGGGAAAGGAGAATAGGGAATCCCACTTTGAACTTCCAAAGTAGAGTCAGAAACTCAAAACCCTCAGCTCAAAGATACTGACCCCGAGGAGATTCTGCTAAAAAGCAGGAAAGGTCTAAAGTAGAAGGTGCTAGGAGGCAGGGTTGCTCAAATCGGGAGTCCTGCAGGAGTGGACCCAGATGGGGCCTGAAGCTTATACAGCTTGGGGGCCTCTTTAAGAATGATAATTCAAAATTTAAAAAAAGAAAAACAAAGTCAGCACAGGGTCCCACAGGCCACCTGGCTGGCCTTGCGGTGCCTCTGCCTCTCAGCCTGCACCCTCCTCACATCCTCACTCAGGTCCCCCTCTCCTGCTGCTGGGTGGTGATGACCAAGCTGGCAGGGACAAAGGCAGACTTTAAACCCCAAATTCCCAAGGAAATCAGGCCCTGAGAGGTCAGGCATCGCTGGCCTTTCTCCCAGTGACACAACTACATTTACCAGGCTTAAAGCTGGTAGCCTTGAAACAGGTGCGCTCCAGCAATGTCCCTAAAACTGCCCTCTGCCTTCCGGAGGTACAACCTAGCCACATCCCAAAGCACCCCAAATCCATGTCTCTCCCATGATTTAGTGGTTCCTTTTTTTTTTTTTTAAGAATTTTAAAATTTAACTTTATTTATTCTCTATTCTCCTCTTGGGATTTTTGAGCACACATGCACACGCACCCAGTGTGATTTTTTTCTTTCTTTCTTTTTTTTTTTTTTTTGGAGAGGTTTTCACTATAGGGTGTGTGCACTCGCCAGACAGACAGAGAGAGACATAGAGACAGCAGAAAGCGAGAAATCACCCCCAGGGGGGATGGTCACGCCAATCCCTTCTCCTCCATTCTCCTCTCGGGATCTTGGGCACACACGCACATGCGCCCAGCGTGAGTTTTAAGCCACCAGGTCCAGGACGCGAACTGCGGTCGACTAAGTGGGAGTCCAGTGATATGTCTCTCCCATGATTTAGTGGTTCCCTTTTTTTTTTTTTAAGAATTTTAAAATTTAACTTTATTTATGTATTCATTTATTTTAATTTGACTAGAGAAAGACAGAAAGAGAAAGAGAGAGAAAGCAAGCTGCCAGGGCTGGAACTCGAACCACGGTCAGCCATGTGGGAGTCCAGCACCCCTAACCACCACGCCACCTGCCAACCCCTCTCCCATGACTTAGCAGTTCTGATGGTACAGCCTCAACCCAGAGGGGATCCAAAGCAATGAGGAACCTGCCCAGGGATATGCACGGCAGCTCTATTTCTAATAGGAAGAGAAAGAAAAGAGGGACACGAATAATTCTTACACACGTACTGTGTGCCAGGCACCGTACTA